TGTCTTTCTATCTACCTTATAATAATATAATAATATATTTAGAGGTGAAATATATTTATATTTATATTTATATTTCATCCAGGTTTATGGCTTTAATAACGAACAGGTTTCCATTTATTTCTGGTAGTCACGGAGACACGAGTTTTTTTAAATACTGCAATTATGCCATAAACACGGAGCAACGAAACTTGGCATCTTTGTACCCCTGTCATAACAATACATACTATGTGATGGGGGTATCACTTGAGATCATGTATAAAATAATGTTACACTCCAACCAAAGAACAAGTTTCCATTTCAATAAATAATTTAAAGGACATTAGTTAGAGAACACTGAAAATAGTATCAAAATTTGGATCGAAGCCCACAGTAGTACTTTGAAAATCTAAAGTAACGCACAATAGAGTGGCACTATAAGAATGTAGGGATTTTTAATAGTAGTGTGTACGTTTAATAAATTGATTAATGTTATAATTGTGCTCTGTTTCCATAACTAGAAATAATAATACATTTTGTAGAATGAAAAGAATACTCTGTACATTTATTATAATAATATTTCATAACTTATCGAGCAACATACTTAAAATTCTCTAACGATTTTAACATACTAGATTTTACTAATGGAAGCTTCGCCATAGAGCCGGTAACGTAACGCGTATTTAACCGTGTCCTTATCAAGAAACCGGATAATTTAGTCGTTAACGAATGTTTGCATAATAATAATAAATCACTGGCTAATGACAGCTCGTTACACGCTAACGATTAAACGTTTATTTACTATTCGGATGTTCTCTTCGCTAGAAAGATTTGTCTCTGTTCGTCAAATTAAGGACAGAACGAAGTTGCTGGCAAATCTAATTCGCCCAATGAAAGAAGCATGTATATCGAATAATCAATCGAGCGTTCCAATTGGACGGTCATCGAATAAAACACAGATTGATATTTATAACGATACGACCCTCGTCTGTATGTTCACCCTATGTAGGTTGAAGATCCACGGAGTTTCAAAGCTGTTTCTGGGACAGTAGTTTTAAAGTTTGCGCCCAATAGTTTTGAACCACGGAACTAGAAGACTAGCGACGGCTTCTATAACTTTCGGAAACTCGGTCAAACTTACGCATCGCACTTTCCACGTATCTAGACAGAGGACGTTAACAAATGAATCTCGCCGGGGATTCCAGTAAATATACGCCCGCTAAACTGTAACTTTTATTAGGTTGTCGTGCATGGTCTTTCTCGTTCGAGGTTCTGCAACGTTGGGTAAACATAACTCTGGTCAAGGTGAAGATTTTTTTCGTCCAAGTCTCGCCCAACTTCGATACGTTTTCGTGAATGCAAAAACGATAATAATCCACTCTACAACGCTTTGTACGATAACAATACAATTAACAAGATTCGCTAAAAAATGTATATGATTAGATATAAACAATTGGCGGTAGAAGACAATACATAATCGTACCAAACAATGCGCGTATCAGTAGGTGGCCATATCAGATCCTAGATGATAATATTATTCTCAAAAGCTAGATATAATTGTATTTTACATGACTAATCAAAACACTAATAAAATATTATGTTGGAAATACAAGCAATACATAATTACATGTGGATTGATATATCATAAATGCTTGCGATTAGATATGATCTTGGACAATTGCAGGCAATAACACAAGTTTGTTAATGTTTGTTATTAATGTCATTTATAATGCAATGTCACACACGTTTAGATATATCATTGCATATATCATAGCAAATTACGGCTCGTATATGTCTTGTATTCAATCAAAATTACTCGTATCTAACGTGAATCTGATTCATATCTATTCACAAGCATACGATCGTCAACATTGTGTAATACAATGTACAAAGATTGTATATTTAATAACATGACGATACATCGATGTTGATTTGCTTTTCGATCAAGTACATTCGTTTCGTTTATAAGAATTTCGTATCGTACGATTTCGTATCTTGCGATTCGGGTTAATGAGACAACTAAAATTGTAAAATAAACTACTATTTGAAAATACCGGACAATTACGGCGAAGCTATCGTGCTCGTTGCGATTCTCGTATTGTTTTTCAAATGTGGCGTGCAGCCACCCGCGCATTACGCATCGGTGTTCAACGGGACAAAATAAATGCTTCCGCGATGCATAGTAATCTCAACGTCGCGTTCCCTGTGCAGAGGAAGAGAATAATCTTTTCGATGATTCGGAAATCACTGACTCACACGGTATCTGTGTCCGATAGTGACGTCGAACAATAGTGCGAAAGTGTGATCTTTAGATACCTTGATAGCGCGGAAACAAATGAATTTCACGTTTCAGAAAAAGCGTACAGCATCCTTCTCGATAGAATTTGAACAAGATCATTTAAAGACTCGTCGTACACGGAGCTAAAATTCAGCGTTTCTGTTGTTCGACGTAACCTGACTGTGATTGCATAAACTAAAATTGTAAAGCACGGTCAAGCGAAGGACTACATTAAATGGACTCGAGAACGACGGACGGGAATTATTCTCGCTGACGAATCGAAATTTAATCATTTCGGTACGGACGGGAAGTTCGTCCGTTCGACGTCGAATCGGTCGAGGAAGTTAATGAAAAGTGTCTGAAACCAACTGTTAAATGAGATAGCGAATATTGGTTCTACGATGGCGCAAATTGGAATGACTAAGAATAGTCCTGGTTCGATTTGTCGGGCAAAGAGAATCATGAATCAGCGTATCTCTGTTGATATTTTGAATAGACGTTACTTCCGTTCGCTACCAATAATTTGCCGGAAGATTGGATTCATCGAACGTACAACGATACGAACCACAACTTCTCGCGAGTCGAAGGAATTTTTAAACGACCATCGCGTTAAGGTAATGACATGCTCGGCTCGATCTTCCGCCTCAATCTTACAGAAACACTTTGGGAACGATGCAGAGAAAGGAGTCGAACGGAAACAAAATATTCAACGCGAATAAATTACGTGAAATTAACAAAGAAGATTCGTTTCATTCGATTTATGGATTTTATGCCCCCTGCGGGCGTGTAGATGTCGTAAAAAGAAAGTGCGAGCCTACGAAGTATTTTACTACTTAGATATAGCAAGTTCTGGTTTTCTTATTTAATTTCTACAGAGCTTGTCTTAACAAAATAAAAGTATGTATTTTAGACCCTATTTGGTATAATACCTTTCTATGTGAGATTCGATGCCTTTTTTGGGGAAAAATATTAGTCACTCTTGATACAAAAAGAAGGAAAACTACACCTGGAACGTTTGAAAGATTGAGAAAGTCTATGATACGACGTCCACGGGCTTGTATTTGGGTCGAAGGTAGCCATTTCGAGCACTTCCTGTGAAGGTAAGCAACTGCACTTTACTGGAGTACAAAAATGGCTATAACTCGGGAACGAGGTTAAATAGTGCATATGTGTATATGAACTTTCTTCATTGTTTTCGTATCCCCAGTCTACCATCGAAGTGGATTTAACATGTTAAGATATGTACATCTTCCAACCAATTTCAAATAAATAAAATATCAAAATCTCTTAACCCTTTGAAAATCCTCTGGGTTCGTCAGCAAACCATAGCCAACTTCATTATTTCGTTAATAACTAATTGATTGGATTGAATCAATGTTTGCAAATATCCGTAATCCTATGTTTTAATGTATATTTAATTTACATTGTATGTCGGCTCGAACAAGCAACATTTTAAATTGTATTTGTAGAGAATTATGGAGATACATATATTTTTTTGTGAAATTCATTTTTATTCAAGAGCCAGTTTACATATTGCTACTATGTCACGGGCAACAAATATACAATTATTTTACGACAATCAAAAATATTTCAAAGTCCATTTGTCAGCCATACCAATATCATCCATTACGCCATTATATCGCAAGGAAACGTGTGTTGAGTTGACACGAAAGTAATAGTTTCCACAGAAACAAGAAAAATGATACGTTTAAAAGAAGACGTAGATACATTGATAAAAAGAATTAATTTTTTTTTAAAACACGTGGTACCGTTTCGCGAACACCAAAACGTCAACATTTAATAGAAAAACAATGTTAACTGGTCATTCCATAACTCGTTGCTTGTTTCTGTTTAATCGTAAATTTTATGTGAAAAAAAATCTCTGATTTTTAATATATCTAAATTTTAATTTTCACCTTTAAAAACAGAAATGTTTATCTTTCATTTTCGATCGAAGCTATAAAAGAGTCTCCTTTATGAAAAACTATAAATATTAAAGGAAAGTAAATTCAATATTTTTAAATTAGATGGAAGCGTATTGACGCGGAGAAAGTCCAATACTGTGATGGATAAACATAATCTGTAAGTCACTGTGAAACATGGGGGTTGTTCAATGGCGTGGGCGTGCATCAACGATGTTACGGATAAATATATGTATGTAAATATACTGGAAAAAGTACTCGAAAATTAAATCTCCCCAAGGATTTTTACTTTCGACAGGACCGAGACTATAAACAATACGTACATTGTTCGCCATTGGATTATATTTTATCACGTTGACTGTCACATCGGTTTTCCGTATTTTTCAAATTATAGAGTGAATAGAAAATATTCAATAATCCAGTGGCGTATGTAGTTGTTATTCTACAGCATTCTCAATTAAATTATTTAAAAGTTTACAATTATCATTTAATACTTTGACTGGCAGACCAAACTCCCGAGATTGCCCAGGAAATCGAGGCTTTGTTTTCAGACAATTTTCACGAATTAATGGTTTCCTCGGTGAAAAGTCAAAGTGTTAAAGAAAATGATCATCGTCATGGCGGCGAACGCGTTGAAAGCGTCGCGTTGGTCAGCGTACGATCGTGTATCGACGAATCGGCGCGTCTCGAGGATCGTACGCGAACGGTTCACGGCGAAATCAATTATTTTTGTCGCGTCGCGAATGCATTTCTGGTCCACTGTGCGACGCGTCGCGCGGGTGGTCGGATGGGTGAACGTTCCGGCGATCGAGCCGCCGAGATTTTCGCCGGATCGGCCGGAACATTTCCGAGCGCGCGGAAAAACGAAGAGGAGAGCATGGAAACGCGACGCGGCAGAATGGGAACGAGAAAGAGAGGGCGACAGAGGTAGGGAGAGGGCGTTTAAATACGAGGAGAGACGCGCGTGCTCCTTCAGTCCGGCGCTAACAGTCCAAACCGATTCACATCCGGACCCCGGTGGAGAGGAAACCGTAGTCCTGCCCGCAACCGAGGACGAATCTCGACCCAGAAACCGACCACGGAGACGAGAAGATTTCGAAACGGATCACGAACACCGTTTCCGGGTACCGCGTGAATCGTGCCCGCTTGAAAAGGGAATCAGAAGTGGCGCGGAGGGCTGTAACTGGCGGACGGAAGTGTACGTGGTAATGTGTCAGTGAACAAGTTTTTTTCGAACAGAATCGAAGAATAGTGCGGAAAAAAACTTTCGAGTGAAAACGAGGGTTCGAGAATGACGAACAGCATGAAGCAGACGGTCATTAAGTGAGTTTCAATAATTTGTTTAATCGTCGAAGGGATAACGCACTAGCTAAATTTACATTTTGTTTACATGACGGAATATAGCTCACTTTCGTGACGCATCTTTTATTATTTGTCTTTGGGGTTCCTTTTAATTGGATGCGCGGTCGCAGGATTATACCTCGAATATCTTTCTTTTTAATACATTGTCATTTAACAGTTATGCAAGCACGTGAACTTGTAAACACCGTAGTTTGAAATTCAGACGAAAAATAATACACTCGGATGGAGGTGTCTTATTGTTGATAAGGATCTTGCGATCGACTGTCTCGAACGTTATCAGTACGAGTGTTTATTATTATTTGCAAGAATTATTATGTGCGTACGAGGCAGATCGCGCGTCCTCTGACGAAGATCCAGAATTATAAGAATTTCGCAAAAATTCAATTTTTCTTCGACAAATTTTAACCACCACCTTTCGGCAGAATCCCAATGGACCTCGATTTGCAATCGACTAATAGTTAATTTACAATTCAAGATTATATACGTTTATAAATAACATCGTATCGATTATCGGATAATTTTCCAAATCTGTCAGACGCATCGTGCGACAAATCTATAGCTCAACAAGTTAAATAAGACACATGAGGTAGCTGCAAGAAGCGATTAGCAAGAATTGAGCCACATAATTGGACCCATCGAGTGTGTCTATAGCTTAACTAACGTACGTCGTGTGATATTGTTTGACGGAAGTATGATTATGAACCTGGATCAGAGATCATATTTAACATGGTGAGCTACACGCTTCATTGCGCACGAGCCTGTACACACCATCGGTAACGCGCGTTTATCGGTTTAATCTTGTTGCTTTCTCTTGGAAAAGAACTCCTTATCTGGGAGTCCACTTCGAGCGACGTAAAACGCGAAGAAACGCGATGTCTGATCGAAGATAACGATTGATAAATCGCGACTCGTAGAACGACTGTTAGTCAAACGGATAACCAGAAGGATAATGCCCCCTGAAATCGTCCACACCGGTAGTTGTTTCTCCTCGGTTTCCATGTTTTTACAGTTAACGTCGTCGCGACCGCGTTACGCGACGACCGAGCAAACTCGACTTGCTCTCGGTGGATTATATAAACAAAGAATCTGTTCTTCCTCTTCGAGAGAAATCCCGTGATTTCAATGCGAGTCGGGATTCTCGGGTGATAAAGCACGCCGCCCAGGCGTTGATGTTACGCCGTGCTATTGCAGTTGTTGAACCGCAACATTCTCGAAAGCTCTTAAAAATTTGCCCGTCAATCGCACGTAGGGATCGTTCAATTCCGCTCGGTAAATTCCAAGATCATGCAAATCGTTCGAATTCACACGTTTTGAGAGCTTCGAACACGCGCAAATTATTAAACTCGTGCTTTATGTGTTCGAATAACACGAGTTTGTATAAACAACACACTTTCCTCAACAAGTTTCTTTCTTATACTTATACCTTTGAAATGGGTATTCTATCGAAATTATTTTTCTAGAGCAAATTGGTCCCTTGCCCCCTGTATAATTATAATATTACGCTGCAAACTAGAATCGACAGCGACGAACAGTTTTAATGGAAGGAACATAGAATTTATCTCTTGATCTTTTCAATACAGAATAGTTACAAAGAATATTGAAAAAATATTGGAAAATATATCAGTTTCAAGTACAGTTTGATGGGGATTGCCAATAGTTTTGATAGAAAACTGCAGACGCGATGACTATTGTTTGCCTTTGTCTCGAAAACAAGGCAGGGTTTAAAAAATCGCACTTATCGAAGAAGGTGGTGGAAAAAGTTCGATGTCAACAAAGGATAACTGATAAAAGTCTACCATTATAAGACAAAATTTTATTTGACGTTTTCAACTTATTTCACTAATATCTAATCTATATCTAACTTCATTGACTAAAAATGGTTCATAGTATGGAAAGGGTTAAAGTTTAAGTGTATATAAAAATAGAGTAAAGATATCAGTTAGAATACAAAATAAAAAGCTTGTTTAAAGCTGTTCTGCTAGTTTCTACTTGCTTGAACTATCTCCGAACGGTTGGTGATAATGGCAAAATAGAATTTCCAGCGGTAGGAAACATTAGCGAACACTTTCCCGCGGTGACTACTGTACGACATTGGGAAACTTTCAAATAACGGGGTCAATAATCGGGAACGGTACCTTTAACCATTTAACACCCAGCGTTGGTACTAACACGTTCGCGCGTTACTTGCAAAATTTCTCAACGACATGCCCAGCACGTTCAGGATTAATTATGAGCTATAAAATAGCACGCGAACGTACAAAACGCAGCACTGCATGAATATTCAAAGGTATTATTAGGCGTATACATGCTATTTATTCCGAGATTGGTTCATTCTACATTGTTTTTGGCAGTTTTACTGGTAGCTCTGTCCTTCAGTCTGTGGTGAACTTTGTCTTACATTGCAATTAGTGACTTATAACCGTCAACATGCTTTTAAGAATGTTTTATTTCGTTGTCAAATAATTTATGACAGAGCCCAATGATGAATTAGACCATTGACGTAAGGAGTTAAGGAGGAAAACTAGTTATGCGTTACTATAATTCATAAAATGTCGGACTCTCCGCAGTACTTTCAAAATGTATTACACAAAAAGTTGAACTTCAAGTGTTTTTTTCTCATTTATCTTTTTATCTAGGAAAACTATACATCACTGAAAATAAAAAAGAATTTTAAATAAATTGTAATTTTATCAAACGAGAAACATTGGTTTTATAGCTGAAAAATAGCTTCCACGATTGCTACAATTTTTTTTATATCAATGAGGTATGCTATCTTTTCCCCTAAAAGTTTCCTGATCATTTTTTTCATTAGACTGCTCCTTTCCACGCGCGTGCCAATAAGTCAAGGCAGCGACAAACCAGATCTTCGCTAACTCGAATGTTCTTCCTAGTCGACGAAATGAATTAGCATCGCGTTACTAACGATTTCTCGCGAAGAGAGAAAAGTGTTTATAGAATCGAAAACCTGGGATTCGTCCGCGTGATTTCCTTCCTGCAAACACGTCCGAAAGATCGTCGAACGTTTGCATAATCAGTGAAAAAACGTGTAACGAACTTCTTGAGTTCACAGATGCAACAAGTTATGCAATGAGTCGGCACAAGGTGCAACGATAGTTATATCAACTTGTCATATGTTGTTTTTTCCCACAAACGTAATGACCTGCTGTTCCACGAATCTTAACGAAAAGTAATGCTCCTCGTTGCAAGAAGAAATATTTTCCGCGCTTGTACTTTCATTTTGATTGCCCGTATACAGTTACTCCCACTCGTCATTCGTACACTGTAATGGTGATTCACTATAAATGAAAGGAAGCTTGTTTCTTATAAATTGAATTGTTTTTGAAGCTGATATAAGTCTATTTTTGTATACATTGTGATGTTTGAGGGTTTATGTTTAAATAAATTAAAAGTAAAATTAATAAAAGGGTTGTGTCACGTTGGATACACTGATTTTCGTCGGATCACCGAAGTGCAGCATCATTGGGCCGCGTGTAGTACAGGATGATGGGTTACCAACTTTTGGGGGCAGAAAAACACGTATTATATTGGATTTCTTTACTCTTTATACAGACAGGTATAGTTAAACAAAAATGTACTGTTTGTATAAACAGTGGTATAGTTATACAAATAACAGTATAACGTGAAATAGTATTGTTTAACAGTGAAGTTAAACAAAAAGGGAACTACTTCGTAAATATAAATAGTACAGTTGTAATAAACAACACTTGGTAAAAATAAATGAAAAGAATTCGTAAGCAACTTTAATAGTTTCTTTTCGTTTATCTCCATTATAGTGTACGAATATGAGTGGGATTAACTGCACTTTTCAACCAAGGCTGAGACTAGTAAAATTATTAATTAAATTATAAATCTTAACATCAATTCTATTTTATGCGTATTTATATATTATACAGGGTGTTCGGCCACCTCTAGCAAAAATTTTAATGAGCGATAGTAGAGGCCAAAATAAGACGAAAATCAAGAATACTAATTTGTTGGTGGAAGCTTCGTTAAAAAGTTATTAAAGTGCCGCTCTTACTGAATTTTTTTCTCGAAAATGCGCAAGATTTCGGGGGTATGTCTATTCACAAAAAATGACTGTAATTGAACCCTACAACCGAAAATAATTTTTCCACAACGATTTGCAATTTTTTAATTTTCTCGAATAATTTCACACCTTCTCTATTTTTTTTCTCGAAAGTGGGCAGGATTTCGTGGGTATGTCTAATGACAAAAACTGATTGTAATTGACCCCCGCAACCGAAAATAATTTTTCCATAACGATTTGCAATTTTTTTTCTCCGTTGAAAAATTTAGGCACCTAATTAGATTTTCAGTAAGGAATTTTTTTCTCGAAAGTGCGTACGATTTCGGAGGTATGTGTAATGATAAAAAATGATTGTAATTGATCCCCGCAACCGAAAATAATTTTTTTTAAACGATTTGAAAAAATTTTTTTCGCCGAAAAATTTCAGCACCTACTCGATTTTTTTTCTCGAAAGTAGATAGGATTTCGGAGGTATGTGTACTCACCAAAAATGATTGTAGTTGACCCCCGCAACCGAAAATAATTTTTCCAGAACGATTTGAAATTTTTGAATTTAATTGTTAATAACTTTTTAACGAAGCTTCCATCAACAAATTAGTATTCTTGATTTTCGTCTTATTTTGGCCTCTACTATCGCTCATTAAAATTTTTGCTAGAGGTGGCCGAACACCCTGTATACTATATACTGTTTATCTATCAATAAAAATATCATTGTTCTCTCTTGTACAATATTTATTAATTTGTACCAGTGTAATAAGTAAATAAATAAATATTTTCGACGAGGGGGAAAAGTCGATACTATCTCACGAAATATTCACAAGAACACGAACTATATTTCGACGATTCGTACCTTCGATTTCTACGTATATAGAAATCTCTTTCTCCGCGGTTATTTTGTTTTTCGCGACGCGTT